GAGTCCCCTGGCAAAATCATAAACTGAGTTCGAGTACAAACAGGCAGTTTGTAAAGACTGGCGGCTGGGTAATCATTTGGCGACAGGTGGGTGGTAAAATCCAAGTAGAGGCCCTGCCAGGACACAGACCTAGGTTAGAGCAGATATCATTTGTTAAACGAGGGCGGAACAAAATCTGGTTCTTTCTGGCTCAAGATGCAGGGCATCTTCGACGGGCAACCCGAAGGCTTTTGCTTACCGACATGATGATGAGCAGTTCCACTTCCTGTCCAGACAGCGGGCTTTGGCTGTCAGCACCTATTGTTCCGATGATCGAACTGTCAATCCGCCGAGGCCTGTCCAGCGGCTGTCACCACAGCATTCCAGCTGCCAACAAGGGGGCCACGAGGCGACGGCGTGTCTCACCTGGACCTAAATCAGCCACCGAGGACGGTGAAGAAGGTGATGCATGGCCTGAGCTCAAACCACAAATTTGCAACAGCTCTTCATGTTCCTTTCTTCACGATGTTAACAGGCTACACGCTACGCCGAGCCGAGCAGCAACCCCAGGTCAAGCAAGAAACAAACGGTCCACGGGTGCACAGTTGAAGTGGCGACGAGCATGACTATGACTTCATCTTCATTTGCGGAGACTTCGATCGGTGCAAAGCAGGCGTCACATCTTGATTAACCCGGCCGACAGCGGGGCTCGTTCATCTGAAGTCAAGTTCTCAATGGCCCGGACATACAGGCTGGCCAGATTGTTCGCCTAGGACTACAGGGCTTTGCGGGGCTAACCTTGCCATTGCCCGTCCATCCTGAGGCGGGATTAACGGGCGGAGCGGATGCATGTCAGATTCTGAGTTGGCCGCGCTGGGATCGCTTGGTGCCGGCGATGATCATAGAGAGAAAAGTTTGCGATCGTGATGCAACCCTCGTGCGGAGTCACGACAAAGGCAATGAACTCAGGATAGACAATCCCACGATGCGCCTGTCTGACTCGACGGGCCTGACCGCCGGCGTGCAGGGCTATGAATACAGGGCTGTTGCTCGGGTCGTGCCTACAACATGGACGGCTCTGGCACATCTCGTGCCAATCATAAGTTACAGTCCAAAATTGTACCTTGTGCTGCAGGCAGTGCTTGGATAAATTCGCAACAGGCCAAGCTACTGTAGATCGACCGTTTACGGCTTCCAGACTGCCATCTCTGTAGCTGACGATGACACCATGGGGCGGTGGATAACGACACCTACCCTCCATGGGATGTGGCTCCGAGGTCATCTCGCTACCATCTAGACGTCTCCGCCCGCCAGAGCCCGATGCTGCGGTAGCTTGATCCCAGAAGAGGAGCTGAAGACAGGCTCGCTCAGCTAGGAGGAAGCAAAGAAAATTTCGGATGAGGGGAGACGTCGAAGATCAGATCTCTATTGTGTTCGCGTGAGTTCCACAACCTTGGAGAGGACAATGAGCTCCCGATGACGGGACGAAGGAGAAGAGAAGCGAAACTAGTCCGCCGGCGGCGCCCCACCGTCTGCGGCCCGGGAGGAGGCCCTTTTGGCGCCATGCTCGTGGGACCTACATATGTGATGTGCGCATAATCTTTTCAGAATCTCAACAGAGCTTTGATCTGACCCTCAACAAGGCAGCTTCGGGTCTGAGAACGTCGCAATGAGCGCTAGGAAGGACTGGAACGCGTCAACTTGCATTGGTGGTGTGACGAGACGCGGGGTTCTTGCAGACGAGACGCGCCGAACTTTGTTGATTCATTTCCCATCTTGATACTGGCGTGACGGGCGCGTCCCGCAGAGCGGGGTAGCGCGTGCCTGCGTGTCTGTGAGTCCAGTCCGGCGGAGCTAGGCTGTCGATTCGGCCCTGCTCGTGCGTTGTAGGGCAGTATTGTAGATGTGATGCCTGTGTTGTGTGATCATCGGTTCGGCGAATGCATGGCTGATTGATGGGAAATGGGGCCTTACGCTCCAGGGTGTTTGAGAACAGCTTGAATGAGTCTCAAGACGATCGGCTCCCATTCCGATGATGAGTCCCACCAAGCTGGTGATGCTGGCAATGCTGGCAATGCTGATCCGGCGAGATGATCTTCTCGGAGCACAGCGAAGGTCACATCGTTCCCAGTGGCCACCCACGATCACGCCGTTGAACATTGCTAGGGCTGAGCCTGGACCTACTTGTACATGGTACGACAGGTAGACGAATGGTCCTGACTCGTCGACTAGTCGTTTCACCGATTACTCACCGACTGAATGTTCTGACACTCACTTGACTGCTGACTAAGTAGGTAACCGCTTGTTCATTGGATACGACCGTGGGGATTGACTTTCCCTCAATGGGCCTTGGATCACCAACCGACCTCATTCTGCGGGTTTCAATCCCGACGGCGCTCTTCACTCGATCGAGTCAATCTGCGGGCGGCCTTGCGAGAGCCTCAAGACCGGCGACGCATGCAGGCAACATCTCCATTACTGCACTCGACGTGGCGGAAGCATCTTTTCATCAACGTATCCGATAGTGACCCAGTCCTCAACTTCATTCCACGTCTCATGCCCAATCATTGACCCCGCCCTTGGTCATCTTCGCCGAAACCCTTTGCGTCATGGAGGACGCTCAGCGGCCCAAGCAGGCTGCCTGTTTGGTCTGTCGCAAAAGCAAGATTAAATGCGATTGGTCCAAGGATCAAGCCAAATGCAAGAGATGTGTGCAGCTCAATGCTGAATGTATTCGTCCCACTTTCCATGCTGGACGGCAAAAGGGCATTAAGAAGTGTGACTGTCTGCACTATGCCCCCCTCAGAGACGGTTGCTAACAATAAACAGCAAGCGCAAAGGCTTGGAGAAAGCCCTCTTTCAGATTGAACAGGCTCTGAAGCGCGTCAAGTCAGGCGAGCAGAACGATGAGGACAGTAGGGCTCTGTTCGACCTTCAAAATCTGCTCGTTGAAACGAAAGATCATCCATCCGTGAGCTCCAGTACGACAAGGTTGCAACGTCGTGAAACTGGAGGTGGCGGCGATGATCTTTCAACGGATGAAGATGACGAGACGGAGGACACCCCTGATAGCAATGCGTACGTTGCACAGCATAGAGAAGGCAGTCTGACGATTGATGATGCCGAAAACCCTCTCCAGCTGCTTGCTCGGGCGTCCAACCTCCAGCTGTCTCCGACTCCTGGCGGCCCTTCGCCTGGGCAGGTCACTAAGAGCGGCCGGAAGAAGCTGCAGCCTGAACAACCCGACGAGGATACTGAGATACAGTCGTTTTTCACGTCCGTGCGTGTCAACCTCGACGTTGGCGACGAAATTGACCCGATCAGCATGGGTCTCGTAACAGAGGCGGAAGCCGAAGATCTATTTACCTAGTGAGTGCGGATATTGACGGAGAACATTCTCTTCTTGCTAACAGGAAGTTCCAAGTTTCCACAAGAACCTCGCCCACACCCGATGGGGACTTGATCCTGTCATAAATACAGTGTCATTCACAAGAACCCGGTCTGCGTTTCTGACCACATCAATTATGGCTGCCTCCGCGCTCTTCAGACCACAAGATGCTGCGCTGTCGAAGCGACTATCTACTCACGCCAAGAGCCTGGCGCACAGAGTCATTATCAAAGGACACAAATCGGTTGAAATCGTGCTGGCATTTATGGTTAATGTCCCATGGATGTTCCCAGGTCAGCATAGCACAGACGACGAGACCTGCTGGTACGTTTCCATGGCAATGACCATTGCAATAGACCTCTCCGTACACAAGCTACTCGTTTCAACGGACATGCTCGGTTCCGCAGCAGCGGTCGCTCGCGGCGACTGCGTAGATCCCCGTACCGCCATGGCTATTGACGGACTCGGCAACGTTGACCCAGCGTCAACCATGGGCAGAAGATTACTGCGACGGCGAGAACGATGCTGGATTGCGTTGTTTGTGCTTGAACGTGGCATGTCTCTAGCTCGCGGACGAAGCTTCACAGTTCCCATTACGAGGTCTTTACGGGACTGTGACAATTGGCACAGGTCAGATATTGCTGACCCTGCCGACGGACATCTGGTTTCCATGGCTGTTCTGCGCCGTGACTTGGATAGCATCTTCGCGACAGTCCGGGCAATGTGTGATGGATCACAAAACACATTCTCGGATGGATCTCTCATCGCCCAATCCATTCAAGGCGCGATCGAACGCTTTTTTGATCAGTGGAATACAGACTGGGGTTTATCTATTGGATCTGGACCGGAGCGAAAACTGCCACCTTATGTTGAAATTCTCGTCACTCATACACGGTTATCCATCTACAGCGGCGTCATCAACCACCCGACAGCTCCCATCGAAGTACGCCAGTTCTTCCGTACGGCTGGCATGTCATCGGCGTTGACGGTTCTACGGGTAGCCATCCAGGGCGAAGCTAGGCTTCAGTCGATGCCGAACAACACATGTATCATGATTGCGTTTGCAGCATGCTTCGCTCTCACGCTGAGCACATACGCCAGTGGAAGCTCTAACCTGGCCCCGAGTGTCCGAAATCTCATCGAACAAACAGCGTGCGTCCTCGAGCGCGTTGGCAACAAAACGAAACACCGCAACGGGTTATCCACACTTTACGGCAAATATCTGCGAGGCCTCACCAAAAAGGCTGCTACTGCGGCTGAAGAGCACTTGGTGGCGCACTTTCAACCCGCCGCCGAGACACTGGGGGCTGCCCAGTTCGGCTTCGCCACTATTCCAGCAAGCAGTGACCAGAGTCTGGCGGCCCTCGGACCAGCGGAAGCACAGCCGGGCTATCCGCAACCGCCATCACAGTCACAGTTGTGGCCGGAGACCTTGCAGTTCTCGACCATGTCTGATGAGCAGATCATTGAGATCCTCAATCAGCCGCACAACGCATTCGACCCAGCAGGTGCCAGCCTCTCATGGGAAGACATGGACAATTTTGAAGGCCTCAACTGGCCAAATCTGCCAGGTTTCAATTACTAAACAGGCGTTGCAAGATACGTGACTACTAAAGGCTCTGTATGGAAACACTCAAATCTTCATTGTAGCACCGCCTGCAGGAACAAAAGTCCACTGTGTCAGTATCCTCAGCTGTTCCATGAATACGAACGTCAGAATAGTGTTTGGTCTACGGCTGTCAGTATATGACCATATCATGCTACTGTTCGGAGAGACTCACGTAAGCCGCAGCCACGCAGGTGTCCAGCCTTTCATGAGGAAGCGGGGACCTTCCTCCCTCAAGCTTGTGCGGATGATCTGGACAACGGACTACAGAGATCATCGGTCAGCTTAGCCAGAACATGTGGTAGAAGAGAGTTTACTGACGTTGCCACCTGAGCCAGCAGCGGACGCACTCTGGATCCTGCTCTTGAGCACATCCGCGGGTGCGCAGATTGTGGTGGCGACAGTGCCTGCAAGAAATGAGGCGAGAGTATGTGTTCGAACATCGTCTTTGAGGCCGCCGCTCGCCAGGAGGTAGTGCTTCGCCGTGGAATATCTGGACAAACATTAGCGGATGCCCAGCCTTGAGTTTGCGTGCGATAGAACATACGTTGCGATCTGTCCAACATCTACATTGGTTAGCCGAAAGCTCGCAGTACTGGTGTTTGCCTCGCACTTTACTCATCAGGATGCTTCGCACAACATTTCGCAGACATGCCACGCTCAAATGGTCGCCAAGCCCTCGTCTCTTCCTATGCGGTAGAACCCCGCCAAGGCGTTTGCGTATGCGAAACTTTTCTGCAGGTGTTCTTCGCGCCATCTGCGCACATCCGAACGAGGACTACTTCTGCCGGATTTCCAACGAGACCGGCCAGGCCGCCCGCAGCGCCAGCGCAGGCAATTGTCCAGGCTGCTGACAGCTTCTGCTGTCCCGTCCAGCTCTGTGCCCGGGCGGCAAGATTGTTGTACAGGCCGAATCTTGCTGTGGAGTACATGGACTGTCGCACGATAGATGCTGAGAGACCGGACCAAAGGGATGGAATGCCTTCCGACGTCAACCATCCGCTCGACCACGTATCAAGAGAAAGTATAGCACTAACCGTCTCGGGATGCGAATCGGTACATGGCGCGGAACATGGAGTTTCTTGACTTGAGGACTTGCATACGACTAGACGTATTAGCTGACCAAACATGGTTCTATGGCATGGCTGGTTGGACCTCACTATTTGGTCTGGTCCAGTGGGTGGGCTAAGTTGTTCAGCCAATGCTTTGAGATGGTGGTGAGTAGGAAACTCACTGAAGCACACGGCCATGGAAGCGGCAGCACCGCTCGAAGAATCGTCAGCATGAGGTTATTCAAACCCGGGCTAGGCGGAAACTCACCCAAGCCAAAATGGCTCATTTTGCTTTGTTGAAGACGACATGACAAGAATGAAGGAAGGGGTATCAAGATAAAAGGAGCGAGCACAGCGATAGGGGAGGGGATCAGTTCAGATCACAGAAGCCATGCGTTTTTGAGTTGCTGTAGCTGTTCGCTGAGCAGCGATATAAGTGCAGAATGGGCGAAGATGCAGCACTCGACGAAATCAATATCGTCCGATCAAGCTTGAGTCAACTTGCATGCACCAGGCCTTTCCTAGGGTCTCCGCATTATACCTCAGATCTGGCCCCTCGCGCATGTAACAGTTCAGACACTTCTCGGAGGTTGATGCGTGGCCGACAAAACCTTGGCCTTCAGTATACACACCTTCCGCCGAGCTGCCCGCCGGACAGCAAATGTACAGTCCGGGCCCCCGCAGTCAATATTGGGGGCTATTCCACAGCCGTGGGACATCCAAGGTTCCACAAGACTGCCGGGATCCACATTTGGGGCCCGATCCTCGGTAGCTGTTCTGCCATCCGACCTTCGGCAGGACGGCAGCATTGATCGCCAACAAACAAAAGTGCCATCATCGAATTGATTTCTCGACTCAATGGACCCCGAGCATTCTGCAAAACACGCTGCCAATAGAGATAACTGTCTAGAGCAACAGCGACAACAGAGGAAACAAGACCCTACCATGTCGAAGCTCGCACCCGGCCTCAAGGCTCTCATCAACGCGCCTTTTGCGCGAGGCGATCCGACCGCAGCTCCAGCAAGAATCCGCGAAGTCTACAGCGCCATCGCCAGCGACGCCGCGAAGCGAAACGTCGGTCTTAAGCCTTGGGTCGTGCTGTCGACCGCTGCGACATTCACCCTCAATGCTCCCGATGCGCTGCCTGTGCTCCACGAGGTGGCGACAGCCTCCTCGGCTCATAACGGCAGCAGCAGCGACGCAGCCGTACGAACTGCCGAGCTCATCCGCGAAGTTGGCCTGAAGTGTATCTCCTTCAACGGCATCCCCCGATCCATCAACTGCCTCAACGCCTTTCACGCCGCACTTCCCGCCGAAGTGAAGTCGCGCCTCGAGACGCGGCCGAGCCGCGCGCCTGACGAGACAACAGGGCCCCGTGGACGTGCCCTCTGGGACAGCGTATACGCACCCTTTGAAGACAAGCTGGTTACGAAGCTGGCGACCTCTCACCCGGATCTACCAGTGCACATTCTCAACAGCCACTACGGACCGTTGCTGTCTGAGCCGGCAGCTGAGAAGAGGGGCGACCTCGCCGCAACGGGGCGCGTGCTGACGAGCGTTATCGCTATTGCGTGCCTCAGGGCGCAGACGGGTGTCGGTCCGCAGGTGCTGAGCCATGTTTTCGGCCTGCGAAAGGCGATTGAGGACGGCAGCTACAAGGCGGCGGGCGAGGAAGAGGTGGAGGGTGCCGAGTGGTTGGCTGGAGATGAGGGTAGCGAGTGGTTGTTGAAGAGCGTGGATTCCATATCGGAGGCGCTAGGTGGTGGGAACTTTGCAGCGAGAGCGAAGTTGTAGACGTACTATAACGCTCAATAATTCATGCTCGCGGGCTCATGATTTGAGGTCACGATTCCACTTCATCCAGGCTCCGCTGGCAACAGGGAGTCATCTTGACATGGTCAGTGTTCTCGTTGAGACATCTTGACTCATCTGCAACGTCGAATTGTAACTATTCAGAATCGATAAAGAAGTTCAGCCCAACGGTTCACTATAGCCCTGAGGATTGGTTCTTTCAAGACATTCTCGGAATAGAGCAGAGTTCGAAGCAGAGCCTTCACTGCGACACACAAGGGGCGGGCGTTGTTTGCGTCACTTGAAACCTTCACACCATGGACGAGGAGATTTAAGCAGTAGAACATTTTGCACCCGGGCAAAAAAGCCAAGACCCAGCCAACCAACACCTGCCTATGCTACACAGAGATATTCCTTTCTATCTTACTCCATAACCTCCAGATCCTTGGCCACGGTGAATTGTGCATCCGTCTTGGCCTGAACCTCCTCAAGCTCAACACCCGGCGCGATCTCCGTCAACGTCAACGTGCCGGCCTCCCGGTCCACTTCAAACACGCACTGCAGACCGTTAGTCATCTTTCAACGAAGGAAAAGGAATCACCAGGAAGTACTCACAAGGTCCGTGATGATGGTGCTCACAACGTTAGCACCTGTCAGCGGCAAGCTGCAGCTCTGGACCACCTTGGCACTTCCATCCTTGGCTACGTGCTCGGTAGCGACGACAATCTTGGTGCCTTCAGGATTGGAGACCAGATCATTGCGCCACCCATGCCCTTCATGACCTTGCCGGGGATCATGTAGTTGGCCAGGTCGCCCGAGGCGCTGACCTGCAGTGCGCCGAGGATCGACACATCGACATGTCCGCCGCGGATCATGCCGAAGGACTCGGCGCTGTCGAACGTTGCGGCACCGGGAACGAGCGTGACAGTCTCCTTGCCAGCGTTGACGATATCGGCATCGGCGTCGGCTGCCGTAGCAGGGTAAGGGCCCATGCCAAGGATGCCGTTCTCCGACTGCAGCCAGACCTTGGCGCCCTGGGGAAGGAATGATGGCGCCAGTGTTGGCAGACCGACACCAAGATTGACATAAAAGCCCTCCTTGAGCTCTTTCGCCGCGCGCTTGGCGATGCGGTCACGGCGTCTCTGGGCAGCGCTCGCTGAGGAGGAGGTCGAGGATGGCGAGCCGGGGGGTGATGCGAGGGACTCCTGTGTCTTGAGGATCTCAATGTTCTTCTCGGCCGTCGCCGGCACAATACGATCGACATAGATGCCGGGAAGGTCGACGTCATTGGGGTCAATGGCGCCAGCAGGCACAATGTTCTCGGCCTCGACGATGGTTAGGGGTGGCGGCTTTGGCCATGATGGGACCAAAGGCCTTGGTCGTGTACCGGAAGACGCAGTTCCCGGCCTCGTCGGCCTTCCAGGCGCGGAGGATAGCCACATCACCCGTGAGCGCCTTCTCCATGAGATAGGCTTTGCCGCCAAACTCTTCGGCTCTCGCGAGCGTTGGCTTCGTTCGAGCACTTTGCCCGAGGCATCGAGCCGCACAGGAATGTCGCCCGTCTGCAGCAGGGAGTGAGCGCCGTGGGGTGTAGAGGCGGGATACGGCACGGCGCGCGTATCCTCTCGCGAGGTCCTTGTGGCCAGCCGATCTCACCAGTCAGATATTTCTTCTCCAAGCCTTGTTGTTGCCGAGGAAAGACAGGATCAGCCTGCTAACCTGGCCCGCCTTGGTGAGAACCGAAAGGCCGCCCTTGCCTTCCTGGCCGGCATTGTTGGAGACGGCCGTGAGGGAGTGTAGGGATTCGGGGCCGCGGCGGTGCAGGGCAGTGATGAGTGTTTCTGAACGCAAAGAATGAGCACAAGTCTTGGGAAGGGCGAAGGCAGGCCGAATAGAGCTTGCAATGACGAGGTGAATGAGACGTACCGGCAACACCACAAAGGCCGAAACCAGAGCTGAGAATTGTCGACCCGCTCTTAATGTCGGCGACCGCATGGTCCGCCGACTCAAACAGCTTCGACCCGCCTCTCTTCACCTCTGGCGCCTTGGCCGAGAACATGGCTGAAGACGTCGCAAACGTCCTCCTGGGTATCGGCCTCGCAGACTGCGCGCAAACAAACCTCGCACTGCGTACCTGGCAAACAGCTGGTCTCACCTCGAGTGATGCCCTAAGCAGCACTCTTGGGCGCAGCGCGCATTGTGTGGCTCGCATGGTGTTGGTAACAGTTTTGTTGGTCGAGTCTTGGATCCAGTGTCGTTGCGCGGCAGTCGCACTCTGTCGCTTTTTGAAAATCTCAGATACTCCGTCACTTTGAATGCCTTTTAATTGGTCTTAGGCCTCGTGAGAAGGAGGCTTCGTGATGGGCGGGCTTGACTTTTGATTGTCGCAGTACGGCAATGCGGTCCCCTAATCTGACTCCCGAAAGCGGCCGATAGCTCTCCCAAGCTCTCCAATTCTGCCCCGCGCAGAGTGACGTCTTGGAGGGTCTCGGGGTTCCAAAGTCCGCTGGGCGGTCGGGAGGCTCGGGGTCAAAAGAAGCGCCGAACAGGAACTGACCATGAGGCCCTTGGCGTCAGTGGGGTTCAGCTCAAGGGGTGCCACAGCTTCCGCTTCCCCGCTCTTTGTAAATCATTGTGACCTCGGGACGGAGGATCAGATGGCCTAGGGGTCCATGATCAAGCAGGCTATTCGCGTCGGAGGACAGAAGTGTCACGCATGCCTTATTAGGTATGCCTGTGTTGTGGGTTGAGTTAACCTGGTACCTGGCCATGGCGCATCACTACCCACATGTTCATCACATGTAGCCCGCCGGTCGGTAAAAAGACAAGGCCCTCGAAACCGAAGACCAACCGAGCACGGCGCTTTTGACAATACAACCAGGACTTCGTGGACCATCAGGACAACCAGTATGCGACGCCGAAGTTGAAGTTTAGGCATTAAGGACCTAGTGCATATTGTGCTGCAATGGATCCATTCGAGGGATTTGCCAAGGAATACTTAGAGTACGATATCATCAAGCTGTGACGGAAGGTAATCGCGCGCTCTGATTTTCGCAATGCCGAGGCGAATTTTAGAGACAGGTCTTGATAAGCCAATTTTTTGCTCAACCGACCGAAATGCTAACAGTCGCATCTCCTATTACGCATCAGTGAGACCTGTAAAGAGGCAGGTTGCGGTGTCCTGCTTTCGGGGTTGCTGTCTGCACAGCCACGGCGGGTTGCTGCCAGGATTGTATCTGGCTTCGCTCGATCGTGCGATGGCAGAGCTTGACGGCGGACGCATGTGCAGTAGCAAGGTCAGTCAATAAGTAGAGCATGCAACATGGGCGGGCGGGCAACTCGAATCAATCGCGACATGACATGTTCATATACGTTTTATGACTACCTGACTGCCTAGATAGCAGTGCAAGACAAATTCGCGCTGCACGAACGATGCATCGTACAGCTCTCATACAATCCATTACTGCCCAGAAATAAGACTCACAGCAAAGTTCCTGGCTGAGGTGAGGAAATAATGCGGGACAACTCATGGCGACGCTCCTTAGTCCGAATCAGAGCTGGAGCTCGAGCTGGAGCTGCCGCTTCCCCTCCGCTTGTGGTGCTTCTTCTCCTTCTTCTCCTTCTTGTGCTTCTTGTGCTTCTTCTCGAACTTGTTCTCCAACAAGTTGGCGCCGATGGCACCGGCCACGGCGCCTCCGATCGTGCCAAGCGCACCCCCACCTGCGGCATGGGCCGCCCAGCCGGCCGCTCCACCGCCGACGAGCGTCGCGCCAAGGCCGCGCTCGTCCTGGGGACCGCCGTGCTGGCCCTGTTGCGGGTATGCTGGATACCCGCTCTGCTGGGGACCGCCGTGCTGCGGTGGGTAGGACGAGTGCTGCCGGTTGTCCTGGCTGTAGCCTTGAGGGGGATGGCTCTGACCGTAGCCAGGTTGGGGCGAGTGGCCTCCGTAGCTAGGCTGCGGCGAATGCCCGCCGTAGCCTTGTTGGGGAGGGGGACCTCCATAGCCCTGGTGGGGAGGAGGGCCGCCGTAGCCTTGCTGAGGTGGAGGTTGATTATACTGGTGCTGGGGAGGATAGGGAGAGGTTTGTCGGTTGTCTTGACCGTAGGGCTGGTGCGATGGGGGTCCGCCGCCGTAGTTCTGCTGGGGAGGGCCTTGGTTGTATGACGATTGTGGAGGGTATCCGCCCTGCTAGTAAGTGGCTGTTAGGATGGACGCAATACCGCCACGAAAAAAGAAAAACTTACCTGAGGGTAGCCTTGCGATTGGTAACCCTGGGGAGGCCCTTGGCCTTGGCTGTAACCTTGCGACTGTTGGTAGCCACCTCCCCCACCTCCGTAATAGTCTTGAGAGGACATGATGTCTGTTTGCGATGGAATGCGCCGGCGAATTTCAATGCTTCGAATGGCGGCTCGCTATGGATAAATGATGAAAGTAGGGGGAAAGGCGGAATGACAAAATGAGGGGAGTAGACAGATCGCCTCCTACTTAGGGTATCGAGATTGCCTGTACAAAGGGGGACGACTGCACCAAATGCGACAAGGAGGCAGCCCAGCGCCGATGATCCCGACAGCGCGAATTGGCGGGGTAGTTCCGTCATACGTGGCGCAGCCGCTGTCAGCCCCCGCCAGCCACCCCCTAAGCCCTGGACCTTGCTGCCTGCCCCTAGCAGATCATCAGTTTGTTCGCCATCATTGACAGATGTGCCTCATAAGGCTGATTGCCATGAGCTCGTGATCCGACGGCAATTTCTCGGGGGACTATCAGGCAAGAGGGTCGTTAACGTCTGGCGATACTGCCTTGATTTTGACCAGATGCAGGGGGACAAACGTACAAATCTATCGAACTTCATGCCCGCATCATGCCAGCCTTCAAAATTTCACAGAGAGTAAGCAAGCCCCGGTCCAGTGTCTGACAGCATACCGATTAGGTGCCATGAGTGGGGCGTACAACTCGTTGTATCTCTCAGCCCAAGTTCTGCAAGACCTAGCTGCAAGACTTGGGCCCCATACCAGCTCACCTTGCGAACAATACAGAGGCTTTGCAACATCAGCAGGATTTCGGACCTTGCTATGCTCTTTAATGCGCCCCGCATATAATTGGTGACGATTCTCAGTCGAGCTGTGGCCCCAACGGAGAATCGTTGTAATCTAATACGATCCGAGAACGGTTCCGATGTCTGTGATCAAGCATCATAGTCTGAAACGAATCCATCCAGACGAGAATACAGGATTATATAGTCATTCCTACCTTGAAGTCCTTTGACTACACTACTGCCATATTCATTGCAGAGGCATGGTAGGGCCATGTACCATCTGCGTCTGGTAATCATCCTTTTCTCTGAGGCCAAACCAACGCATTGTTGCTCCTTCGCCGCTGTGGTCGCAGTCACGCAGGGCGTTGCACACGGTTCGCCAACAATACATTCACTTCGGTCATATTCGCGGGGCCACCAACGGCGTGAAACAGTCATTATGTGCTGACCGAACAGTGCAACAATCGTGGAGTTGCGTGTTGGTTCTGACCACTACCAGTGAATGCATGTAATCGAGTACAATTGATTGTGGAACATTGAATGAACAAGCTGATTCCGCCAAAGAGTTCTCCAAAGGCTTCATGAATATTCAAATATGCTTTCCTCTCAAAGTAGATATAGTAGACTTATCAAGGCGTGCACTCAAGATCTTCATGAGAACTCATATTTGATAGCGAACTCACTCTCTTCTCCACAGTACTAGCCTGAAATGATCATCAATCCCTACCAGGTCAATGCCGAAACCATTCCCAAAGGAACTTGGGCCTTTTGTCTGACGTCCAAGCGATACGATACCGAGGGGCGACCACACTCGAAATTGATCAGATTCGGGTACATCTTAGCGAACGTGGCTACACACCTTCAACGGCTCTGCGACCAACCACGCGGGGGGAATGGCCGGCGCCAGCTGCTCAAATTCGAAAACTCCAACGTCATTCCCCTGGATGAATCTTCTTCAAAAGCTCTCGAGGACACCTTCAAAGAGGTCTGCGCCCGGCTTCATGGCGACCCTCAAGCCAGAGGGCTCTGGGGTAAAGATGGTCCCGAGATGCAAGAAACAACACCTGTCATCGGCGCACCCATTCCGTTCAATATGATCTATGGCGTAGTACCCCTCTTCGGAATTGTGACCAGTGGTGCTCACCTCAACGCGTTCCACGGCGACGGTGAAAACATGATAATCTGGCTAGCACAACGGGGGGCTTCCAAGTCCTCTTACCCAAATTGCTTTGATCAAATTGTGGCGGGCGGCAACGATGGTAGGCAGGATCAGACTCCACTCGACATCATTCTTCGCGAAGCCAAAGAGGAAGTGAAAGACGACCAACTCCATCAAACACTCATAAAAGCCAAAGGACCGGACACCATTATAACCTATCACGTCTTCAATCCCACTGCTCCAGGAACTGCGGCAACGATTGCAGCTGGGAAGATTGAGCCGGGAATACGATACGTGTTCGACTATGAAGTGCACGATCCCAATTACGTCTTCAAGAAGAATGAAGATGACATTGCGCACATTACGAGTTACACTGTGACACAGGTCAAGGATATGCTAAGGCAGGGCCAATTCAAGCCTAACTGTGGGCTCGTTATGTTCAACTTTCTCGTAAGAAAGGGAAGGATTGGGGATGACGACCCTTTGTACCAGGAAACGGAGCGAGGTCTCGAGTTCCCTTTTATCTGGAAAGAAGGCATAACCTGCGATGAAGAGTCATACTCTAGCTTTCAACGTCAAGAAAGACGTCATGATACCGCGTACGAATGACCTGTCGGTGAAACCACACGCCAACTCTACGCACGCCAGTTGCAACAAGTCCGCTAAACACGGGCAGTCGAGTACTTGAAACCTCTGAATGACCTGAAGATCGTCCATCGATGGCTTCAGGAGGAGTATGGGTATGTGCTGTGCCACGTGCGACCACAAGAATGGGAATCACAATTCTGCTGGTGCTAGCGGGATAACGGCCAGCCGACTAAATAGTGGCCGCTCCTCAAAGTCGACCAAATCATGCCCTTAAGCGTTATGACTGCCGAAAATGAACGGGTCCGGTTCGAGTGGTTGAATAGAGAGTGAGACAGAAATTTGGTGAACCTAGCCGTCCGTAGCGTTTGTAGTTTGAGGCAACTCGATTTGGAATGCCTTGGAAAGCTGCACGTTGGCAAGTCAAGATGTTTGTCGAAAACTTATTACCAAGACACATGGAAGCTAACTGTTAGTGGTCAAGTTTGCCTAGTTTTTTTATTCCATGGCCGCGTATCGAAAGACCAAATCTCGGAGGGCCGGATTACTGTTCTAACAGTAAGCCCCTTTCACAGTCGATTTAGCAAATCGGAAGTATATTCTATGGGGGTGGAGAGTGTCTAACCTGGCGAGGCTGAAGATATAGAGGCAATGGCTGGGCAGACCAATGAGATCCAGCGACTGTATTGCCAGAATGACAACAGTCATCGCCTGGCTGGGACACGTGCTGGGACACAGAGAATTATGAAGGGAACGTTCATTATTCCTGACGACCTGACACCATACCTCCAGCAGACGGCGCTTCTAGAGAGGGGTGGCGAGTATCCCGTGATCTGCAAATACAGCTCGGAGCCTAGTGACCCTTTGCTTGATGCAATGATTGTAATCTTTCCAATACTTGACCAACCGGCTGACTTGGCCTAGGATCGTATTGCCCAGCCTTGCGGCTTCGCCATGAAGCTCTTTAATGCTCACGGCATTATGTTCAAAGCTAGCAAGGACTTCTCGACCCAGGATATTGAGTTCAACAGCACCCCAGCTCTTGACCTGGCCGACGCCAAGATCACCACCAGACTCTGAATGAAGTACGGCGCTGAACCAAATGAGCTTGATACACTCCTGCATGCCCGCAAAGACGCGGAGCGCAGCGATCGCAATGAAAGGTCCGGATTACACTTCTAGAGTCAACTCTATTCTATTCCCAAATTGCGTATCGACACTATGTTGTGAAGCACAATCTCGCGCCCTACGGCGTTGCTCAAAAGTAACGCGCTGCAGAATCTGTTGACGGCCACCCCAATTGTGTCCTGCACGAGAGGCTCAGGGAAATATATCAAGACAATGCCGCGGAATATCTCTTCCAGGCGCATTTGCTCGAGAATCTCAACGATCAGCCGGTTGAGTACGCTGGAAAGGAGTGGGATTCCGACAAGTATCAATGGCAGACGGTAGGGGTATTGGACATCTCTAAGCAAGAGAATTTTGACGAGAAAGGAATCATTTCTGGGTTTACAATCTTCGTATTGATCCGTGGCACGGCTTTGTCATACTTCAACCTCTCGGGAGCCCTCACAGGCTTCGACGTATAGGTGGGCAAGCTGCGCATCCTTTGCGGTGTGGCCGTAACTGTTGAACAGTGTAACCTGCCGGCAGTAAGTATTGCCGACAGCAAAATGAAAGGACCGAGGTGTACGTAGGAAGTTTCGACGAGGTCGTCGGCTTCTAGTATAGAGATGCCCCCTTGGGCTTCACAAGAGGGTCGACACGAGGACCAAGACACGCAGGCACCAATGGAAGTTCATCAAAATATTGCTTACAAATTGCGAATACGCTGTAGATCTTGCAATAGACGGCATCTTTTCAATGCTCAGATGACAAGTTGTGAAAAGTATGCATACGCATGCCACTATCTATGACTTGTGGGAATGGCCAGATCCATGTTCCGATGGAGCGGCACTGCTGTTGCGTCTGCCCAAACCGAAAAAGCCTCTCTTCTTGGGCTTGACTGGCGAGGTCAATCCCTCCAGCGAACCGTCCTTGATGGTCTCGATCTTCATATGAGAAGTCGGGAAGATGCCATGTTTACCCTTGCTGGTAGTACCGACCCAGTACCAAGCGTCTGGATCGTCCCCTACGTTTTGGTCAGCTCACGCCTCCAACTTTAGCCATGCGCATCGCAGTACTCACAGTCTAGATTTGTGATGGTCTCTCCCTTGTCAAAGCCTAACCAGCCAGGCCCATTTCCGGCCTTGACATCCCATTTCCACCTAGCAACGCCACTTCGTTGCGTACGCGGTGGCGCCTGTCCCGCCAGCTTGCCCCTTCGCGGTGCCTCGAGCTGTACCCATCGAGCCTGGAAAGCACCAAACATGCCATCGTGCCACCCGAGACACCACTTGCCGCCCCAGCGTTCTGGGAATTCAACGCCGATTATCCGCGCTCCTGCAAAGAACTGGAGGACTTCTGTGCCGGGCTCAGGCCGGGCAAGGGGCTTCTCATCTGGCATCTGGACATGATCACGTGTAGCGACGGCCGACGGCAGCGACGCTCCGCCATCTGGAGGCCCGCCTGGTGGAGCGGCAGGGTTGGGAAAGTGTATGTCAAAGTCGTGCTCGTTAGGCTCGCCAGTGATGGTGCCATACAAGACAGTCAAGCCGGGGACGTCGGGTAGCGGTTGCGGGTGGCGGGCAAGATGACGCAGGAGAAGGGCGGCGGACGGGAAGACGGTGGCGTCGCCTTCGTAGGTCGTTGAGCCAATGTGAACACAGAACGGGCATCCATAGGATGTCTTGGTCATGTGCCTGGTCGCCATATGCGACTTGTAGAGGAATCGACGACGGTAACGGATGCCTTCGCCTTGGAGATCGGCAATAGCTGCACGTGTCAGCGGGGAGCCGAGGTAGGAAGAACGAGCAGATACTTACACTCCTTGTCAGTATCCTGCAGCAACTGGCTGTATTTGTGCTCATACTCGCAGTGCATGCATTGCGCCTTGGCGTCTGCGAATACTGGGGGCGGTGCGCTGAACATGTGTCCGTACAGAATATCCTGCGTGTACGGCGTAGGTTTCGGCACATCTCCTGCACCACCAACCTTCTTGACAGCATCACCAGGTCCACTTTCTCTAAAGGTTTTCGCCCCCTTACAGAACCCCTTCCTCTCATAGAAGGAACTATCGGGTCCGATGACCAGATCAACTACTTTCCACGACGGGTTGCCTATGGTGGATGTGGTATCTGGAATTGTTGACCTGTCTGATGACGCCCATTCTTCAATCAGAATGGACTTGTTCTCGCGCTCCGAAAGGCTCGGTACCCTGGCATCTCGCGTCTGCAATGATGCCACGGTCAGGGATGGTGAATGCGAAACATCGTCGTGCTCGTACAATGCGGGGGCGGGGGATTTGTGACTATAGTGCCGTGGAGGCGACATATAGCTTGTGGCGCTGGACAGGGTCGAGCCCCTGTTGCTAGTATGTGGGCTAGTCATGTCATAATTGGAGCTGAGTCGGTCAGAGCTGGCGCCAGTCATACGTCGATCGGGGTGCGATGTTGGCCCGTGGTCACCATAGTTGTGGCCCATGCCGAGGCCAGAGACGCCGCCAGGGGTTCAGGGGAGGAGGATAGGTGCGCCAGATGGACGCCTAGCCGCCTCTCGACCGGGCTCATAGGTTCTGCGGCGAGGCGAATTCTTTCCATCTCAGCTCGAAGGTAATCAGGCCCCGAGGGTATTGACTGTAGAGGCAGCACTTGAGGTGGGGAAGCTCGGGATGATAGTGTTGGTGAAGGTGAAGCCTGGGCTCGGTTTGGTAGGACGATTGCATGACCAAAGTGTTGCGGCGGTATCGCATGAGGCATAGGCTGAGAAGGGACAGACCGAGGCACAGGAGGGGGTGCCAGTGGCTGTTGAGCCCATTGTGTCGTCCGCGGGTCGACACCGAAGTCGAAACGACCAGAGTCACGATCGGCTTGGGGTGACGGAGCAGCCTGTGGGCTCGTAGGCGGTCGAGGCCAGGCCTCTGGACTGCTAGGTATTGGTGCGTTAGATGCCCCAGTCGAACCCGACCTGACTCTCGTGCCCTTTGTGGAAGATTGCTTATTCGGCCAGAGGGAATGTTGTTGAGACTCCTTGCTGGGTACCGATGTTGCAGGTCGTACTGGATGGGTTGACGTCTTGGATGATTGAGAACCGGTGCGCGCTGTTCGAGGGAGAGGGGGTAGCGGGGGGAAAACGGTCGGCCGTGGCAGCTCCTTGGTCGGCTCGATGACCATTCCTCTGACTGCTTCCATTATCGTGAGCGCAAGAGACTTCGCAGCAGCCTGGAGCTCCTTGAATTTGGCCTCGTCGAAAGAGTCAACCTCGATATAATCCTCAAAGTCGTAAAGCATGCCATCCAAGGCTCGCTGTTTCTCCTTGACCTCGCCTAGCAATCGTCAGCTCTGTTTACCCTCACCCTTGGCCATCCACTGCGTTCGAAAATGAAAGATTCACCAACCGTCTCGTGTCATTAGATCTTTGAGCGCATCACCAAACTCGGGCGTCTGATCCTTAACCATGGGGGCTAGTCTTTTCATAGCTCTCTCACCCTCCTTGACGAGGGCCTGCCCCGCTTTGAGCATCCTCCAGCTCACATCCTCATCTTCGTCGGCGACATCCTCAGCCTGCGCGATAGCTTCGTTACCTCGCTCAATGATTTCGCTGAAAGGGCGCGTGACCAGTTGCTCTGTTTGGATTGCCATCGTGGTCGGGAGCAGCACGGGCGGACTCCACGTCCCTAGCACTAGCTGTTCAGTGGTCAATTGACCCCGCGGACTGATTATCGGGTAAGAGCGGTCTGTCTGTTGCGACGGGGCTGCGATGAATGTGGTCCACCAGAATCGTGGGGTAGACAGGCGATGTTCGTGTGGAAGTGGAAGGGCCCCTCGTCCTGTCGTCCCCTAGGTCGTGAACAGGCAATGAAGAAGTGATGTGTCGTAAACTGACCGCAAGGAAACACAAGTACCTTGTGTCGCAAGACTAGGCAAGGCCGTTTTTTTATTAATCGGTTGTCCTTCGTGTCACTCTGTCCCCTCCATTCATCCAACGCCTAGCCGCTCCCGCAGGTGCGCCATCCAATATCCTGGCCACTTGGCCCTTGAGCTCGTCCCCGACCTCGGCCAATAACGACCTATGGGGCACGAGTGACCGATGCTTCAGGTATGGATCCGGAAGGTGAAAAGACGTCTCCCCGGCTAGTGAGCCGGAGGGGTGGCACGCTAAGGCTTGACAGTGGTCGGATTTGCAGCATGGTAAGATAACGCCTTGCCTGACATCGTTTGATGATGGAAAAGAGCCAAGGCTCAAGGGGGCTGGCCTCACCGGTGTCAGGTCAAGGGTCATAGGGCCAACTGGTCCCAATCCTGTACGGTTTCGCTGAGGTTTCTCAGTCGACGGACTGACGGGACAATCCTTGTCTGACTTCTTAGCGCGTCATGGAGACTAACCCTGATTGAGCTCAGGAGGCAGGACGTTTGAGGGTGTTGCTGAGGTTAGGTACAAGGAGGAGAACCAACGCCAACGCTGGCATTGCCGCGACAGCGCTCGTTCCGGACTGCCAACTCACCGAAAGTGATGTTGCTTGTGGCAAGCCCGAATGCCTGGACCAACAGTCCGTAGATGCCTGGCGCCGATCGTGTGTGGGCTTGCGCAACGAGTAAGTTGCTTGTATAGCCCGGCGCTTCAGAGATTAGTTCTTCCTTGTCGATGGTATGGATGGACCGAAAGAGATTGGTAGCGCATGCCCTGTCCTGAGTTTGGCGTAACAAGCGTCGTCCAACGAGCACCCAAGTGCCCGTGCCGCTCGACCTGATCAAGCCATCTTCACTGGCACCTTGGCATCAAATTTCTTTGCTTATTTCATTCGCATTTGGTCCAAGCCCCTGTTCTGCGATGGGTACTTGTATACGGGCTGATGCTACCAAGAACAACGTGGCTGCCCAGACTGTGTATTCTTCAATCGTTCCACGATCCCTTCCATTGGCTCACACCATCAGCCAGCCACTTTCAGTCACTTGTCCAATTGCCTCGAAAGGATCGCGAAGCGGGACGGCTGGCAAGGTTCCCTTGCATCATGTCCTGCATGTGATCCTAGCAATGTAAAAGCCTGGAGGTGTGCCAGGGGTCGTTACTCGGCACGTCAGCAAACTGGCTCCCCATAGCCCCGCCTAGACTTGTTCTACCTAGTAGCTCCAGCGTGCATGAGGAGCCTACCAGTCAAGCCAGTCTACGGAATAACTCGTCGGTCCCCGTAATCATTCCAAGCGGTCCACTGGGTGATTGGGTCCCGCAAGCACCTCATTGCCAGATCCCTGTTAAACCCTGAGGTCACAGTGAATAGCGTCTGTGACTACCCCATGGTTACTCCGGGGTCGGACGCATATCACTTTTGGGGTCAGTTCGGGCTGAAGCCCAGGGTGAGCTGCATAAGAAGTATTGCTGTACTCGCCCCGTTTTGCGTCGGAGCTCATTCAGCAGGTCATGCTCGCCGTTGGGGTGAATGCGATAAGATCCCGAACAGCGACTAACGCTGAATTTTTAGGGCAGTATGCCAGTCCTGCGAGGCATAATTGTGATTACTGCTCTCTGCGAACCTGAGCTCAACTGCCAGCACGCAACTTTAGGAATGCGAGCCTTGCACGGAGGGAACACGAAGAGAACACGGAGAGAACTCGAAGATCAAGATAGTTCCTCATCTGTGCTATTTGATTCCTGATGGCTGGGCGCTGCAAAGCGAGCGGCTGTCTGGAAAGCCGCGAGAATCGGATCGCGACATTCAGCTTCGGACGTTTGTGCCAGCTTGATGAAAATGGAGTGATCAAAGAATAATGCTGCAAGCATGAAACCCTGCATCACACGCCCGGTGATAGCCCGAAATTTGGGGTCGGTTCCGCCTGCGTACTGTTTTGCTCCTCGTCGTCAACGTCGATGGCTTCGTCATCTGAGCCATCGCCATCATCCGCCGAGTCACCCCCGAGGCTGTCGGTGTCTTCCGCATCAAATTCTTCCGGAGTCTCTGGGTTGATAGTGTCTTCGACGTGGAGTTCTCTTCCAGAGTTCCAATCGGCTTGCCACTTCACTGTCAGCTTCCTTGCCTCTGCCTTGACTTTCAGCTTTCTGTCTCGGTTGCAGATAGTGTCAGAATCTCCGGTGAGAATATTCTCAAATAGAGCGTTCAAGTGTCGTTCAACGGCTGTGATGGCTTTTTGGCTAATCTTATCAAACTTTTCCGGCAATCGCTGCTTGCTGAGCCTCAGTCTCCGCTCCATCACGACGAGGGCTCTGTGGAACATCTTCCCACCCTGGCGAGCTCCCTCAGCTTTGATGAAGTCCTTGCGTAATTTGAAGCAACCCGGTCCTACTCATTTGTCAGTGTAAATTAATGAACAGGCATGACGAGTCGGATCCGACCTGTATGGTTGAGTGCTTTATGGCAAATTGGAGCCATCGAGTCTTGGAGACTCAGCAAAAGACGTGGGTGAGTCGAGGCAGCATCTTTGGATACCAGATCTAGAGCCATGCGAATCTCATCGCGAATGATATCTTTGATCGGGACAAAGGCCTGCAGGCTGCGTTCTACTGGGCTAGCCAAGTCAACATTCAGAGTCTTCAGACTATAAACGATTTCTTGGATATAATTATGCCACACGACCTCGACGCGCTCCATTATGGGGCGAAGCAAAGCGGGGAGGTCTTGGTTCATTGCCTGGTCCCAATCCTGCACCAGGAGCTGGAGCATTGGTTTGCCGCTAAATTGGAGGGTGAGCATGAAGTAACATTGTTTGCGTAGTTAAACTTACAGACTCTGCACCCAAGCATAGTTGATTTTGGATTTTGGGCTTGTATAGCTGGCGCCATCCCTCTTCAAAATGGCATTATGGGTCATGTAATGCATGGCGTTTGTGCATGTAAGGTCGTCGGGTTTCATGAGATGCCATCGACCTATGACCCTGTGAACCTTGGCGGCACAGTCTCGAAGAATATTTTCCTTATTGTGCAGAGGGTCAATGCGACCAATGTCGTCTTCAAAAGAAGACAGCTCAAACCGAAGGGACTGATGCCAAATTAGCAAGTCGAGCGAAATGCAAATCGAAGTCAGCCTTACCTCTAGATTATTATTGTGAACTGTTTGCAGTGATTCGTCGATGTCCTGTTTCGTAAAGACAATATTGGCTTCCTCGTCTTCGTCCTGTGACCACTGGCGGATCCAGTTCAATAGCTTGGAATAGTTGTTCAAAACGGTATCGAGGTGTTCTTCACGAGTCCCAGCGGTAGACTCCCAAAGCCATTGCTTTGCTCGGGGGATCCCAGTGTAGGCCTCGCGAGGAAATCCGGGAATGTGAGATTCTTCATTCTTCAACCGCCAGAATGCTAACGAGCTGACAGCGATCACCTCAACAAGGCTTTCAGGACTTGCTTGCTGTTGAATGTTCCTGGAGCCATAAAACCTCTTTTGTCGGACCCTGAAGTCATCCTGAATTCGTGACTGAACGATGTCGTTCCTAGTCCGAGTGCAAAGATAAGCAAGTTTTGACTCCATATACGCTCGGGATCTGTTTTTCCGAGCTGTCTGCTCGGTAATGTGCATGATGTTCTTGCGTGATTCTTCCAAACCCCGTATGGCCTCAGACTTCGCAGATTTGAGGACCTGGAGTTCGTGCTTGAGAGCCTCTTGTTGCCCTGGTACGACGTTATTATTGTACTCCACAGTATGATTCGAGTAGCACTTCAGGCCCAAGAAGTATGTGGAGACTTACTAGGTTTGGCCTTCTGGAGCCGTTTCACCATACGGTCTACCTGACTCTTGGCTTTCGTAGTCCTTTTCTTCTTCTTTTTGAATGCGTTCTCTTCGAGCTTTGCCTCATTCTCGAGGGCCTTGATTTCAGCCACTAATGCTATTGACCTGGTGTGAATCGCCATTGTTTCGGGTTGATTCCGTACCTCTTTCGAGCGCGCGAGTTGGCCACGGATATTGATGTCGTCGGATTTCGTGAGAACAAACCCAAAGCCCTTGCTGTGGTATCGGCCGTCCATCTGAAGTCGCAACTCTTGTTGATTCCCAAGAAGAGAGTGGGCCGTCATCTCATCAGCCGCGCGAATAATTGGGGCTACAATGATCGTCACTGACAGCTTTTCGTAGAATTGCTGAGCCACTGCTGCTCGACTCTGCACCATGTCCCCCAGCCCAGGGAGGTCCACCAAGCTAATTCCGTTCTTCAGAATATCCACGCGAAGGAATTGACGGACTTGTTTGACCAGAGGCCAAGCTGCAAATTGCTTCCCTTCTTTCCCGTGGTTATGGACTGTAGAGTCCAAGTATGGGCGAACCTGCCGAGCCAGCTTCTCAGGATCCGAGTCGTGCAGGCTTTTGGTCGTCCCTAGAAGTCTGAGTACGTCCTTGTTGGACTCCATTAGATTCTCGGCAGTCATTTCTCGAAAATCTTGGAGGGAGAGACCAGTTCCCCAGACAGCTTGTACCTTACCAAGGACATCGTCGATGACGGCTTGCGCCTCAGCCTGGTCCTGAATCCTCGCGTCCTCGTCATTGTCGTGGCGGTCTTCAATTTCCTCGAGACAAGACATAGCTTGGAAGAGCGTTTCCACTTGTTGTTCAATTTCTGCGTAGCTGTGGAAGTCAACCTCAGCACGATATTCAAAGCCAGCTCGCATGTCATGGTTCCAGGAGACCTGGCACACAACTGCGGTAGCTGCCTGCTCACAGCTCGAAGGAAGGAACTCATGAATTCCCAGGAGAGCATTGAGCAACGATGTCTTACCAGCTCCTGTTGAACCGGCGACACCCAACGAGAAGCTCGAAGGAGCGATGTTTGTTTTCTCTTCGCCTGCAGTCACCGTTCCTGTATTAATATCTTGACTGTCGTAAAGGGAGAGTTCAGATCGAATCAACTTACGCATTTCTTGGGCCCAATGTTTCAGCTCCGCCAAACCCGTCATATCATCTTGTTTAGCCACCTCATTGCTCGCCAGGACATTGTTGATCAGAGGCGCTAACTCATTGAGATAGACCCCAGCGTCGATGACGGCCTGTTCTTTGATGAGCAGTCTTTCCATGACTGGACACTTCTCGCAGTTAAACCACGTCACATTATCATTGTGACTGGATTGAATAGATTTCAAGCTGGTGGGTTTGCTATCTTCAGCACGGGACAGCTGAGACATGTTGAGCTGCAGTGTACCTGAAAGGCACCAACTTCGGGGGCGGAGCAATCAGGTGCCGCCAGACAGGCCTGCGGAAGAGAATGTACGAATGAATATTGGCGTTGGTGAAGTAGATTGAAAATTGAAGTGAAGCAGAGGTCGAAAGATCGGGTGGGAGGTTGAGATGGGTTGAAGAATATAAATAGGAGTGACTCGATGGTGCACGAGGCAGTCACCCGATGGACAGCAACAGGAAAGAGCCTTGAAAGTTCCAAGTGATACACCTGAATCTATGAATCAGACATCAAGCCCATGCAAGTCCCTGGAGTGCCGCAAAGGCTCTCTTAATTTTAAAAGGAGGGACACCAGACAAAAAAAGAATCCACCGGGCGGGTTCAACAGGTTGTTTCTTTCTTTCAAACTCGAGAGCTGCTGTATTCGAGCTGTTGCAAATGTAAAGAAGAAGAACGGCCCGTCGACTGTGAGGGCAAAAACAAGGTTGGAGCCGCCGCGGATTGAACACGGGACCTTCTGTAGGATACGCTTCGAAATCGAGGCTATGCAAAACAGACGCGCTACCACTGCGCCACGACCCCACATGGGAATATTGTCAGGATATAACATTCAAGTAGGCCAAGTTCTAGTGCTAAGCTCTGCATACTAGTATTGTGTCGTCATTGTACGAGAATTCAGAATGTCCGCTCGATATCATTAATTTCTTATTCAATTTCTTTGCTGAGTTTGTTCCAGCTGCCCAGTCAGAGCCTTATGTAAACTTCGTTCCCCTCGTTGAATCGCGATCAAGAAAAGTTGGCTCACGCCACTCAGAAGACAAGCAAGCGCCTCCAAGTCTGTGAGAAGACATTGACTTGCCAATTGCCCCCGGTTACATTCTCTACTGCCACAGAGCTCAGTCAAACATTGCGTACAAGTCCTACACGGCTTCGCATTTCTGCCTCGCAAGAGGAGAGGCAGATTCAGCTCCTCCGACAAATAGGGCGGAGACTGTTCTGAAAGCAGCTGATGTGTGCACAAAGTGACAGCTGACGATAGGCTGATGATTCATTGCACATTGAGACTATTCAGCTGCAATTTCGACAACGACAGTGGATACTATCCGCGAACCTTGAGCGTGAGCAGGCCTAGGGGAGTCTCGCTCCCGGCGTGACGGCCCAACTTCTGGGGTCCGAACCTCACCGTAGCACCTACGCGAATCATTGGCCACCTTGGCACTCCAGCGCCTTTGCGGCTGCGAGATTTCCTCACCTATAGTCTCTAGTCTGACTGGGAGTAATGCAACTTGAAACTGTCCTCCCAATGCGTTCTCTCTACTGAACAGGCACTTTGTTGAAGTCTCGATTCCGGATACTAATTTGCTGTACATAACAGGGTGTTAGGCATTAACAGCTTCCATCAGCACGAGTTCCTTGTGGATACAAAACCATACACCAACTGAACAACAAATCTCTTTTTCTTCAAACAATGGCTTTCTTACCGACTATCAGTCTCTCTCGTACAACAATTCCTGATTGGGTGGGTGATTCAACTTGTCAGTAGAATCATCGGGATACACCGTATCTTTGCCTGTCATTGTCGGAATGCACCATGATTAAACCTTCCGAGGATGTCAACATAAGTGTGGATCGGGGTGCCATCCAAGACACCAGAGATGGCGGTCACATGATGTGGGATGCCGTGCTCGCGGAGAAGCTTTGCATCAATCTCTCCACACTGCTGCCCAGGTCGCTGGAAAATACCCTCCAAACGTGTTGTGGTTCCTTGTTGGCGCTCTTGGGACTTATTTGGTAAAGACCCTCGCTCATGGATCAGCGTCTGAGGCAGACCTTCCGTGAGCACATCTGCTGCAGATGCCGTGCGGCACAGACAAAACACTAGAGTTGCAGTAGTGCCATGATTGTAAATCCCAAGCGACATTCAACCATTCACAGTAACGAGGAATTACGATTTGCAATCTGTATCAAGCTTCTGGGGTGGACCAGCATGACGCCCCTCTTGGGTCACTTCCCCACACCGAGAGAGCCATGGCATCCCCTCAAAGGCCCCGGACGCTAAGCTGGAGAGGCATCAGCAGCCCAGAACGTGCCGAGCTCGCAACGCCTTATCTCCAAGTAACTCCAATGGCACGCCTGATGGACGCTCTGACGAAATCCCCAAATCCCCCACCCCCTCGGGTTCGGCATTCAAATCTGTCGCCGTTCACCCCGCGAGGTCTGGGGTCCACTTCCCCGCCTTCACCACCACGCCTCAGCATCCCCGGGTTCCAAATGTGCCCCCGTAAAGTCTGGAACTCACGGCACGTTGTTACCCCAGGTTTGAGAAGATCAGCACTGACACTAGTCGTTAAATCCTGACTTGTGAGTGTCAAAAACATAGAGATTGCGGCACGGGAGATATAAAGTCAGTTGTCACGTCGCACACCACCGCCGCTTCTGTCTCAGTTTTGCAACAGCAGCCTGTCTCTTTATAATAACCTTTTTTTACCGAGACGAGGCATGCACCGCCAGGAAGACAACATACAAAGCAACCAGCAACTCGAGATGACGACCCCTCAGGAGAAGCGTGCCTCGCGGGAGGAGCACATCGACCATGTGCGCAGCAACATCGATGACGATGGCGAGAAACAAGTCTTTGCTGAAGAGGGCGATGTCGATTACACGGGAACAGCAAAGAAGACGGATCCAGAGGAGATTCGTTTAGTGAAGAAACTCGACTATCGCATCATGGTACGTGGAACTTGGTGATCACTCAATCCTTCGCCGACAAAACGCTGACCGCGACAATGTTGACAGCCCACACTCTGTGTGATGTACTTTTTGAACTACGTTGATCGCAACGCCATTGCACAAGCGCGTCTCAACGGTCTTGAAGACGACCTAAAGATGACGGGAACAGATTTCAACACGGCCGTGTCCATGTGAGTAACCAACGAGGACAGCAATACTGGAGCGTCCTCAACGCTGACTCGGCTATAGTCTGTTTGTCGGCTATGTCCTCATGCAGATCCCTTCCAACATGTTGATCACAAAGGTGAATCCTGGGATTTACATGAGCTCTTGGATGGTTGTGTGGGCTGCTGTGTCCGGTACGTTGGCCGATTGCATCTGGCGTGGCCTGTCACTCTGAACCCTTCAGGACCCCCACTGACGGTCACGACTCCGTAGCTTGCACCGCTCTTGTCCACAACTTTGCTGGCCTCGTAGCATGCCGGTTCTTCCTGGGCATCACCGAAGCTCCTGTGAGTATAGCGAGGCGCTGAATCGAAGGCTCTTCTGACCTCTGGCACAGTTCTATCCCGGTGCCACATACATGCTTTCGATCTTCTACACCCGTAAAGGTGAGTCCGTACCTATGACAAGGAAGCCCTTGCAGGCTGCTGACGAGGCCGTCCAGAGGTCGCAACCCGCATCGCTGTTCTGTACTGCGCTCAGATCCTGGCCACCGGCTTCTCCGGCCTCATCGCAGCTGGCGTCTTTGAGGGCCTGGACGACGTTCGCGGTCTCGAGGGATGGCGCTGGCTCTTCCTCCTCGAGGGTGTCGTCACAGCTCTCGTGGCGGTGCTCGGATTCTGGCTCCTCCCCAACACGCCTCTCACGACGCGCTGGCTGAGCGAACGCGAGAAGGAGCTCGCGCACGCCCGCATGGAGAAGGACAAGCTCACCGACTCGCTGGGCCAGGCGTCTGCCGTCGAGGGTCTCAAGCAGGCGTGCCGCGACAAGCGCACATGGCTCTTCGTGCTGATGCAGTGCTTCCACCTCTCTGCCTGCTCCTTCAACAGCTTCTTCCCCACGTACGTGTATCCTCTTCCGTCGAACAAGGCAGGTGGCGGGTTCTAACGATTCTTGTCATCAGCGTGATCAAGACACTCGGCTTCAACACGACCGTCACGCTCGTCATGACGTGCCCGCCCTTCATCTTCGCAGGCGCCGCCGGCATCTTTTTCGGCTGGAGCTCGGGCCGCCTCCACGAGCGCACATGGCACATCACCGCCGGCCTCGCCTTCGCCGTCGCAGGCTTCGCCCTCGCCGCGGCGTCGCTCAACACGGCCGCGCGCTACGTCGCGTGCTTCATCTTCGCGGCCGGCGCGTACTCGGTCAACAGCGTCATCATCGGCTGGGCGTCGTCGACGCTGGGCCAGACCAAGGAGAAGAAGGCCGTCGTGCTGGCCATGACCAACGTCGGCGGCCAAATTGGCTACATCTACGGCGCGTACCTCTGGCCCAAGTCCGACTCGCCTCGGTACGCCATCGGCTTTGGTGCCTCGGCCGCGTTTGCCTTTGGTTCCATCGTGTGTGCGTGGGTCATCCGCGTGCTGCTCATCCGCGAGAACAAGAGGATCCGTGCTTCTGGCGCCGACCACGGCAATCTTTACGGCTACTAGGCGCGGTACGGAGAGGAGGCTGCGCAGGGACGGCGTATGGAAAACGCGTGGGCGCGTGCGACATGGCTGGCTCGAGCCAGCTTCACACTCGAGACTGTATGTAAAATGGTTTTCGGCGCAAATTGGAATTTCGTCAAGGTTTTGACACGGGCATGAAATCAAGTATCTTTGAAACCATCGTCTTGGAAATCTCCATCGTGAAATCTCCATCGTGAAATCTCCATCGTGAAATCTCCGTCGTTGAAGTTATTATTGAAATTGGTCTCATTTAATTCATCATGTTTCGAATCATCATGTTTCGAATCAATATTTCTCAAATCATCATTTTCAAGTCATCATTGTTGAAATCACCATCTTCCGAATGTTGAATGCACGATGCTTGGCGAAGAAATACTTCAGAGTCGAATGCTGTATTGTATGATGACCAAGCTTGGCTTGTGCACAGAAATCCAACAGACAGCCCACCTCGATCAGTAGACGTGCACTCACGTCTGGCGTTTCTTGATCCTGGGAAAGGCAAGCCACACGCCGGCGACGACGACGATGAGCGCGAGATGATGGCTGCAGCCGAGCAGGCCCCTTCGCCGCAATGGCACCAATGGCAAACGGGAAGACGGTGCGCCGGTGCCGCCCATGCCATGGCGAAGCTAAGGGCGCTGACGTGGATGTCCTTGGGCAGCAGCTTGGGGTGACGGTGACGGCGCCGGGGAACATGGGCCCGAGGAAGAAGCCGAGGAAGGCGACGGCGACGGCGGGAGACCTCGAAGCGCGGCACGAGCCAGAAGAGCAGCTGCAGCGCGATGCAGCAGACGAGGTAGATGCTGATGCAGAGGCGCTCGCCGAAGCGCTCGGTCACGAACCCAGACGCGGCGGCCGGCGACATGCCGGCCCAGAAGCCGGAGCCGAGATGCCGGACGCGTAGGCGCCCGGCCTCGCGCACGCGCAGCATGAAGGTGACGACCCAGCCGCCGAGGCCGACCTCGACGCCCATGTAGGTGAAGAAGAAGAGGGCGCACATCCAGGTGACCTTGCTCTTGAGGGCATCCTTGGTGCCGGCGCCCTGGGCGCCGTCCTGGCGGGGGTGCTCGGCGCGGTAGACGGCGCCCGTCTTGTGCCAGAAGGTGATGGTGAGGCCGACCCACTCGAGCACGGAGATGGCGATCATGATGTAGTAAAAGGTGTACCACGGCAGGCCGGCCTTGACGACCATGGAGGTGGCGATGAGGGGCGCGAAGAGGGCGCCGAGGGAGTAGCAGGCGTGCATGAAGCCCTGGACCTGGTTGGCCTTGTCCATGTCGCCGACCCAGGCGCAGTAGCAGGCGTCGGTGAGGCCGTTGCCGAAGCCGGAGATGGCGTAGATGACGACGATGACGGGGAACGGCGGGTGCGTGGCGACGACGGCGTAGGTGATGATGTGGCACAGCGGGGCCATGACAGCGACGCCGCGCTGGCCGTACTTCATGTGGATGCGTGCATTGGTAAAGGCAGCGACCGAGTAGCCGGCAAAGGGCGTCAAGAAGACGAGCGACACGATGGTGTAGTTGAGGTCGTAGTATTGTTCAAGCTGTCGTCGGTCAGCACGCAGTCCGTCAGTCAGTCCGTCAAAGGGCCTCGGAGCCATGGACGCTACTCTTGCCGTGACATACGTAAGGAATGAGGGCCTAGGCAACGTTAGCGACTCTCGTCAAGCGACTCTTGTCAAGATCGTCAAGCGACTCTTGTCAAGATGGGCGTCGAGGCTGAACCCACACCAACGGCCGCGTCGTTGAGGCCGGCAATGATGAAGGACAGAAATGCGAAAGCCAGCTTGGGCACGTTGCCGCGAGGGTGGTTCCATCGCTGGACTTCGCCATGGGCCACATGTCCTGGCGGCGGGCCTGTACCATCGGCGTCTCCGACCTCTTCTGACGAGTTCCTTCGTGGGTCCTGCGGCGCTGACCCGACACGCGTCAAGTCCTTGCCGACAGATTGGCCGGTGCCCAGGCGCTGGAGCTCGATGCCTTCAGCAGCCATGGGCGATGAGGGGCTGTTGGACTTGCCAGCCACAGACAAGGCCGTGGCCGGGCGCGTGATTGTCGCAGTCTGAGACATGGCAGTTGGTTCGGACAGGACAGACACGATGGCTGGTTGAAGCAATGCCAACTGGGTGGCGGACGAGAAGAAGGTCGAGAGCAAGCACGCAGATGCGAGGTCGACCTTGGCCTGCTTTTTCAACAAACCTTCCACTGACAAGGCGGTTTGGACAAAGCGGGTTTGACAAGGCGGTTTTGACGAGGTTGGATGCGGGGGGCAAGAACAACCCGACGAATCGAAGGCACGGCGGAGAGCGGGGCAGCCCGAACCAGAAGTCCGCCTTCCGCCCGGTGTGTGATATGGGCGTGCGACACTCCGCGATCCTCGACGCTCGTGTCAAGCCGTTGCTTGGTCATGCCCCGAACCAATGAATGGCCACGAATACCGACGAGTGGGTTTCCGCTTTCCCGCCGTCTGCCATGTACCTACTGACGGTACCTCCTAGGAACCCACCACAAGGTCCCTATGCCGTCTTGGGGGTCTTCATAGAGGGGCAAAGCATCCTCTAGAAAATCGCCTAGTCTGGTCATCGTTTGCCGAAAGGCGCACGGCTTGCACGTGTGCTGCACCGTGGTCGATGACGCTTATGCGGGCCGAGTAAAGCGCATGCGACTCGGCCCTCGCAGGTGGAGGTCGAGACCATGACCTGTGAGGCGGTGCCCAGAACAGCGCATCAAGAGCTCCCTAGTAGATGAGTATCACAAATTGGCCCAGAGGGAGCAAGAGGGGGCAAGAGGGCAAGAGAGGGCAAGAGGGGGCAAGAGGGCAAGAGGGGGTCAACTGATCCCGAACGACTTTACACTATTCCAGCCATCTATAATGTAGAAACAGAAAAATAAAAAACAGAAAAAAAAACAGTACATGCAACAAGCCAATGGGCCACATTACTCCCGCACAAACACGCCCGCCATGCCCATGCCCGTGCCGACACACATGCTGACGACACCGACCTCACCGCCCGTCCTCCCGAGGCCGTGCAGCAGCGTGCTCGTCATCCTGGCTCCCGTCGCACCGAGCGGGTGGCCCAGCGCAATGGCGCCGCCGTCAGGGTTGACACGGCCGTCCTGCCACGCCTTCTCGAGCCCCAGCGCGCGCACGCTGTGGATGGCCTGGCTCGCGAACGCCTCGTTGATCTCCCACCGGTCGACGTCCTCGGTCGTAAGGCCCAGCTGGTCCAGGATCTTGGGGATCGCCAGCACGGGTCCGATGCCCATCTCGTCGGGCGCGCACCCCGACGTCGTGGCGCCGACAAACTTGCCGAGAATGCTGCCCGAGAGGCCCAGCGCCGTCGCCGTGCTTCGCCGCATCAGCAGCGTCGCCGCCGCGCCGTCCGACACCTGGGACGAGTTGCCCGCCGTGCTGGCGCCGTCGGGCGTGAACGCGGGCTTCAGCTTGGCGAGGCCCTCGACCGAGGCGCCGGCGCGGATGCCGTCGTCCTGCGTCACCGTCACCTGCTGCTCGTCGCCGACCTTGTTGCCCTGCTTTTCGGCCTCCCGGAAAACGGGTCGCCCCGGGCACCATTTTCTTCGCAAAAGCGCCGTCGGGGGCGCGCCTTGGCGGCGCGGCGGTGGCTCTCGACGGCAAAGGCGTCCTGGTCGGCGCGCGACACGCCGTAGCGCGCGGCGACGTTCTCCGACGTCAGGCCCATGGGCATGATGCAGTCGCGCGCGTCCTTGACGTCGGACGCCTTGAGGGCGGGCCACAGGTCGACGGGAATGGCCTTGCTGCCGTAGTTGCGCGTCATGCTCTCCATGCCGGCGCCGATGCCGACCGAGATGACGTCGGTGCGGATCTGCGCCGCGACGAGCGCAATGGACTGCAGCGACGACGAGCAGGCGCGGTTGACGGTGTAGAGGGTCGTCGTGCTCGGGTAGCCGACGTGGTTGAGGGCCATCTTGGCGGCCTTGGAGCCGCCGAGCTCCGAGAGGACGACCGCCGACGGCGACCTCTTCAACAGCCGCCGGGTCGAGGTTGGGGTTCGCGTCGAGCGTGGCGCGCAGCACGACCGAGAGGAGCTCTTCGGGGTAGGCATCCTTGAGCTGACCTCGGTAGGATCGGCAAATCGGGGTCCGCAGGGATGACAGAATGACAACGTCCGAGGGGCTCTTTGTGAGGACCGACGAGAGGCCGCGTGGGAGAGACATGATGGGCGTTTGGCTGGCGGGTCTGTCGAGTAGAAAAGGGGAATCCAAGGTCTTTTGGTTTTGTCAATCGGTCGAGTATCGTCAATCAATCGAAGGAAGAGTTCAATCGGGGTATCATGGAGCAGACTAAAGAAGGATAAACAGAAAGAGAAACGCCCTGCGCTCGAGATACACACTGCCGGAAGCTCAGGAAGATGCCGGTCTCGGTTCCTCGAGAGAGCATCGGCAATGGGGGGGGGGGGGAAGAACGCTTTTCCCCAATGGGTGACGTCCAGACTGTGGGGGAAGGCCCCACCGAGCATCTTCGGCAGTAGATCGCGGGTCACGCCTGCTGGTGTAGAGTGCCGTACCTGCTCTACTCTACTCTACGGATACGGTGCCCAGACGCGCCACGGGTACGTCCCAACAATCCTCTAACACCAGCATGATGCTGGTGATTTCTACGACCGCAGCCAGATTTCCGAAACTTCTCACGATTCCATCGTCCGACTTTTCCATCGTCCGACCTGCTTCCATGTCAATGGACCACCTCGGATGGCATTCAAACCTGGTCAAGCAGGATATTTGCAAAAGGTTACCACGACGAAACCAAGAGTGCCCCATGCGCGGATTGACATTCTTCCGCCGAGTCGTCACAACCACTCTTGCCACTCTCTCGTGACAGACGACTCATTCTACACAGACTGCAAAGCTGGGAGACGGTGTCGCGTCATCCTCCCCCATTCCTCCAGGGATGTCAGCTCCGCCGGCAGTTCTTCCAATATCGGTCCCATGTCAACCTTGAACGGCTTCTCGGGCGCTTCGTTGTAATAGGTGTACGCCGTGTGCATCTGCTTCATGACCCTCTCCGTGTCCAGCCCCGCCCGTTCCTTCATGGCCGCGCTGATCTTGCCGCAAAAGTCATCGACCGTTTGATTCTCGTAGCCCATCGGCCGCTCCCACGCCCGCGACAGCTTGTCCGCCAGCTGAGCCAGACAGACCGTCTCGGGCCCGCCCACGGCAAAGTTGCGCCCCGCGAGCTCCGGTCGCTCCATGGCGGCAATCATGAGACGAGCGACGTCCCGGTGACAGATCCACGACACCTCGAGGTCGGGCTTGTGGCAGTACACAATCGTCGACCGCTCAGCAATCGGGGGATATGCCCAGCCTTCGAGGAGATTGTCGAGAAAGACCACTGGCTGTATGCAGATGACGGGCAGACCCGTCTCGCGAAGTATCTGGCGCATGTCGATGCGGTCGTCCTGGGACTTGATTCCACGCTTCGTGTCGGGAACTGGCATGCTAGTATTGAAGACGAGGAGGCGAACGGTAGGACTTGATGATGCCGCTTTCCCGATGAGCTTGGCAGCAGCGATGACCGGTTCGGTGGCTTGAAATGAGGTCGACGGCAGATTGAGGAAGACAACCTCGGCGTCCTGCAGAGAGGCCTTGACGGCGTCTTCATCTGAAAAGTCGGCGGCGTATGTCTCGATTGGCTTGTCGTCAATGGCAAGCGGCTTTGGATTCCGGCTCACGGCAACAGGGTGATGACCCGCGCGTGCGAGAGCCTCGACCTGAGCCGCGCCTTGCACACCCGACGCCCCAAAAACCACCACTTTGGTCATGATGATGCAACTCAAGCAAAGCTGACAACCTGTCGTGAAAGATGCAAAGAACAGCGTTGGTATCAAGCAGCACGTCGGTCGCTTTTGGCCGCTCTGCAGGAATCAGTCCTTTTCTGCTAATTCAGGTACGCTCTGCATCGCGACCCAATGTTACCGTCGATCACGGACAAGATTTTCCGCATGTCTCGTGGCTACCCGTCCCGTTGAGGAGGAGGGATCGATTGAATCTCACGACCCGTCTTGACGTTTTCCTCTGGGACGCAGCCAATGGAGCCAGCTCCTACCGTTATCTTGGCGACAGTGCCTCTTTGCTCGTTGTGACCGAGGACATGCAATACTCATCAGCCTCACAAGGCGACGCCATTTGGAGGCTGGTAACGGATGGGTTCGAGAGTCCCACGCCGGGAAACCTTTCGCGGGTAGCCGCCCACTGTACCGACGCTCCCCGCATGCTGGTTGAATGCCAAGCACCCCTGTAGTGCTGTACAGACTAGGTCAGAAACGGCGCTGCGGGGCCCCAGACCCATGTCGTCGTTAGACAAGTCAGGTCGGAGACAGGATAAGCTGGTGATTAGGTGCCATGGATTCAGGACAACAGGGCAAGCCTGGACGATCACAAGCGGGCGGGTGAGGCGAAACGCCTCCCTGGAGTTGCCTCCATGGGGAGCCATCTCCACCATACTTGGCCCGACCTCCGATGGCGTGTACCCAACGTAGAGGGCTGGGACGATCTCAAGACCAAGCCTTTCACCACGCCTCTCGGGGAAGCGGGAGTAGCCTATCGCCAGAGCTAAGCCTTCAGTGAGGAAATGTGCTCCCGGATAGCATACTGGCTCGGATCGCTGACTCGGCCAGGGAGAATGTAGCCTGGACGTTGCATGAGATGTTGCTCTTACTAAAGGAGACTCGCGCCATCGCCGTGTCTCCAGCATGACAATCTCGACACCAGATGGTAGACACGTCGGTACCCTTGGAAGCACCGCATTAAAGGAGCCAGCTGTCGATCATGGCTATCACGCCAGCACTGCAACAAACTTCCGATTCGGATGGCCTCGCCTTCGATGCTGGTGAGAAGGAGATGCATCAACAAATCGAGCATGCAAATACGTCCACGACACCCGTGGACAACGGAGAGGATGGAAAACTCACCAAAGAAACGATTCTGGCCTACATAGTAAGAATCCCCCTTCCGTCTCATACGAGAAACATTGCTGATTTGTACATTTCAGGCAATGTGCGGCCAGATCAACGCTTACATCATGTCCATGCTCATCCCAGCAACGACCCTTTCCTACATCAATGCCGAACTCGGACCAGACCCCAACTCGACGTGGATTACTCTGAACTGGACGTTCGGCGCCTCGATGATCGTCTCCATCGGCGGACGTCTCTCTGACATTTTCGGCCGCCGATACTTCATGATGACAGGTGCTTTGATATCCATCTGCGGTTGCCTCGTCGGCGCGAATGGGCGGTCTATCAACCAGAATGATCGCATCAGGCGCGCTCTTTGGCATCGGCTCAGGCTTCAAGAAGCTTTGCTACGCCTGCGTGCAAGAAGCAGTGCCCAACCGCTACGCGTCATGGCCGTCGGCGGCCTAGACGTCAGCTTAGCGCTCGCCTTCTCAAGTCACTCGTCAGCTACGCCTTCATTGCGCATCAGGACATCGGCTGGAGGGGCGCCTACTGGTATCTCTTTTCATTCCACTGCTTTGCATTTCTGATGCTATTCTTCTTCTACAACCCTCCCGACTTCGAGATGAAGCATCGCGAAGATGGCGAGACGAAGTGGCAGCTGGTGAAGCAGATGGACTGGGTTGGTGTCTTTCTCTTCCTCTCGGGCGGTGCTCTGTTCCTTATCGGCGTCAACTTTGGCGGCCGCACCTATCCGTGGACGCATCCCCGGGACGTTGTGTCCGATCATCATAGGAGGATGCTGCTTTATTGCGGTTGGGTTGTGGTGCACATATGCTCCGTTGAAATATCCTCTTTTCCCACCAAAGTTATTCAGGAGAGTGCGCGAGTACGTCTTTTCCCCCGTCCGTATGGGACATGGCTGACGGCCTACAGGTTCGACATGGTCATTGTCGTCTGCTTCGTCGGTGGCATGCTCTACTACAGCATGAACGTGCTGTGGCCCCGCCAGTCACAGGCATTCTTTGTGCCCGAGGGCGACATCATCATGCGCGGGGTGTATGCCACCATCTTTTCCTGTGGCACCTGGAGTGCGTTGCTCCCGGCCAATTCCCGTGGGTTCGTTTGCTAACATCCTCAGCCGCCGGCCTCGTAGTCGTCTTCATCTGCTCCCGCCTGCACCACGAAAAGTGGCAGCTTGTAGCCTTCACAATTGTCCAGACCGCGCTCATCGGCTCCATGGCCTCGGTCGGCGCCAACGACGAGGCCCAAGCCATAGTGACAGTGGTCCTGGCGGCCACGACCATCACCCCGCCTCAGCTGCTATCATTCACGATGCTCTCATTTGGCCTCGAGGACCAGCGAGATCTGGGCGTTGCCGTCGGCCTCGCAGGCACGTTTCGCCTGTTTGGTGGTGCCGTGGCGACGGCGATTTATACAGCCATCTACACGAACCGCTTCAACGAGGTCCTCCCGGGGCAGCTGACGGCTGCGATTGAGGCCTCGGACGTTGAATTTTCCGAAGGCCTGCTGCAGTCCATGATCAAGGCGGCAACACTCAACACACGCACAGCATATGAGGCGGTTAGCGGGGCGACGCCAGATCTCGTGGATCGGGTCATCGAAGGGGCGCGCGAGTCCTATGTCCAGGGGTTCAGCTTGGTGTATCTCGTAGCTATAGCTTTTGGCGTGTGCGCTACCATTGCGGCGGCGTGTACAGTGAGCACGGACCGGAGCAAGAAGAACAACGATCGAGCCGTTGTCATGAAGGATGAAGTGCTGAAGAGGGATGCGATGCTGCAGAAGAAGACGGTGGCATAAGTCAGAGGTCTGGACTGCAATGGGACAAGTGATTGTTAATCCATTGAAACCTTCTCTACACAGTGACTGAATTGGCTCCAGTGACTACGCCGGCACAACACCGTGAGATGCTATGGGTGTCGAATGTGGGGTTCTGCGGCATTCTTTGCCTCATGGTGGCTTCGTCCTCGCAATACACCCTGCCTACGATGAAGCACCAGCAGCCCCTCATACATGTCACTCAATCACGCCACACAATGCTGTCTGCGTGAGACAGCCTGATAGTCACTGCAACATAACGCAGACGGGTGTGGATGATTGATTGGCTTGAGCCTGCTGCAGTTGGAGATAGGAGACGGCCGCGGGAAACTCTTCGCCGCGGATGGTGTCCTCCCCGCGGAAGGTGACCGGGATCTTCACTACGGTCAACACTGGCGTTCACTGATTGTAGACCTCCTGCCTCTGTCTAGTTTCCCGCGGACGCAATGTGAGATATAATGTCGGGCTTGAGGGGTGGATGAAGAGCTTCTGCCTATATAAACCATTGATAGACAATTGCAAGTTGCTCATGACATTGTCCTCCCTCCTCATCCTCCCTCTCCTCCCCCTCCTCTTCATCGTCCTTCTATATCGATAATCCTCCCACACTGGCCATTATGGGCTCCGCCATTGCCATGTCCGACGCCGTTGACCCGGCCACCTTCTGGCCCCTCGCCTCGAAGCATATCCTGTACACAGGCGTGCCTCCCTCCCCCTTCATCATCACCAAGACCAAAGGCACACGGCTCTACGACTCGACGGGGCGACCGATCCTCGACTTCACGTCGGGTCAAATGTCGTCCCTCATCGGCCACGCACACCCGGAGATCGCGGCCGTCATCAACCACCACGCCGCGAACCTCGACCACCTGCTGTCCAACATGCTGACGCAGCCGGTGCTCGACCTCGCGCAGGCCCTGGCGTCGCTGCTGCCGGCGCCGCTGACCAAGTCGTTCTTCCTGAGCACGGGCTCCGAGTCGACCGAGGCGGCCATCCGGCTCGCGCAGACGTACACGGGCCGGTTTGAGATTGTGGCCTTCTCGGCCTCGTACCACGGCCTCACGGCCGGCGCCGCGGCCGCGACCTACTCGACGGGCCGCCGCGCCGGCATCCCCAGCGCGCCGGGCCACATTGCCTTTCCGGCGCCGTACGCCTTACCGGTCGCCGTTCCGCTGCGCCGACGCACCTACGACTGGCGTGCCGAGCTCGACTACGGCTGGTCCCTCGTCGACAGCAGTCGGTCGGGTCGCTGGCGGCCCTTCATCTTCGAGCCCATCCTCAGCACGGGCGCATCCTCGACCTGCCGCAGGGTACCTCA